AAATCCGGCACTCTTCTTTCAGAAGTAGCAAGCCGCATGAAGTAAAATCCACCAATATGCGCTGCATTCTCACCACAAATATAAACATTTGTCGTGGAGAAAATACGACGAGGAGGAAAAAATGCCAGATCTTCGCCTCGGCAATGTATTCTAGCTACCAAGCCGGCGTATCTCCAGAAGGTGGACTCGAAGTGGGACAAACCTTTTGATTTTTTCAGGAGCGCTTTGCGCGCAAACTAATTTATTCTGGCGCGAAATGAAGATTAAGAAAATGTATCTGAAATCTAATACACGACAAGAAAATTTTCGCACTTTCGAGGAGCGCGACATATTAAATGGGATTAAGTCGGATTAGCTGCCAGCGGAGAAAACATCCCTACGTGGGATTGTACTTGCAGTAAAAAGCCTCTGTGTCCTCTCATGTATAGCGCTTTCCGTTCCCAGGACCCTTTTTCTTCCTTCCTCGTGAAAGAACTATAACCGAACTATGTTCTTCCTAAATACACTTGAAAAATCCCTGTTCTGGCTTTTCAGTATGAGTCACTGTGTAACCCTGCAATTAGTCTGCGATGTAACCTGATAAAATCAACTCAATGCATCAAACAACATCACAAAAATATCTTACAGATTTTCTGGTGAAAGATCGTAAGAAATGTTTTTGTCATGTTTAGTTGAGGCCTCAAATGAAATAAATGTCCCTAAATGTAATAAAGGTCCGTAGTGTAATAACTTTTGGCCCTGGATGATGTAATAAATTTCATGACTGAAACACAGAATGGTCTGATGCGATAACTTCAATAAGTCAGGCAATTCACTTTCGATACCTACTTTTTCAAAAACTGAAAAGAAAGGAACTAGGTATAATAACTTTTCATATGAATAGACGGTGTTTGGATTTTTTGGGTCATTACAGGCAAAAGGGCAAGGATGTATCCATGGAATCCCAAATACAATGTATCTCAGGCAGTTTTACTCTATTTTACCTTTCTTTTGAGACACCACTCAACAGCAACTTCATAACAGGGCTCCACGATATAAAAAAATATATGCTTTTTCTTCAAAAAGTGCTTAATAGCAAATTACGCAAAAAGCGAAAACTTTGTACATAGTATTTTACTCTAAAAAAACTCTTAGACAGACAATGACCAAAGATATCTCACTTCAGTACAGCCGCCCGCTCCTAAATAATAGCTAATATTATTATTGTTGTCTCTTCTTTCACGGTCTTTACTGCTATTCTTTTTGTGCGTCAGCCGGACGCAAACCTTACACCTGGAGCATCAGTCACTCAAGTCAATCATTCTTTTCATACACTAAGCACCTTTCTGTGGATTGGCGCAGATCCCAGCATGCAGATCTTTTGAATCTCTGTCACAGTAGCTGTCTCTGATACTTTCTTGATGTTTTCTACCATCTTCTTTGTTACTGTACCAAGTGCACCAACGACCACAGGGATAAATACGGTTTTCATATGCCACATTCTCTGTACTTCTAGTTCTAGGTCTTTGTTATAAGTTTAAGCTCTTAACTGGGGTTAATGAGCCCTAAGGGAGTACTAGTTCTTTCCTCACTTGTCCCTAGTGTACTCTACTCTCCTCACCCTTGCAGTCAAGGCTTGTGCAGTAGTCAATAGCTCATTGTTTAGCTCAAAGTACTTTTACTTTTACAATGTTAAAGTGGTTGCCAAAGCTTCCAGTAATTTTCCACAATATCACATGATTCTCACCTGTCTCGCCTTATGTAAACCCCTCATACCATTAGTCGGCCACATTTCAGCTTTGTTCTTCAAGCAAGTG